ATCATTTTCTTTTTCCAGATGCTTGAGCTGGCCAAGTCTGCCTGCAGGCTGCGTGTTGCAGGCCCCAGCACCAGGACTATGCTGTCAACAACCCAAGTGTCCATCTAATGTACAAATCAACTTTCCCCCCGGATACCAAATAGAATAAACAGATTCTCTCACTATAGGAACATTATTTATTTGTGCAATGTTTAACAAAGACTATACAATTGGTGCATACACTCTACAATTTGTTATATAATAAAATTATATTTTGTTATGACTGTTTCTTTTATTTCACAAGTTCTGTGGCATGTTAAGGTTGACAGCAATGTGCCATAGGCAATTTTAGTCAACTGAATCACTTTTGATCTTCTTGTAAACAACTGAACTAATTTTAACCAATTTTGGTATATACATGTAGCATCTAAAGGTAAAGGAAAACATAATTTATGGATTTCATCTGGGGCATAAGGGATGGGGCTTAAACCATCAAATTAATGTAATCTTTAAAAATTTTATTCTCTCTTGAACATCAAGCAGTCAAACTATTGGTATTGTAATAAGAATTGATCTCAATACCAAATTTGTAAAATTCATGGCCTTAGGGTCAGGGATTCTGGTGTTAAAGCAGGACTCTATTGATCATATGGTGAAAGTGCATTAATACCTTGAAAATCTCAGCTCCTGGGTATCAATCAGGCAAACTAAGTACATGTAGTACGTAATTGTAATGAGCAAGGGTATTTTACCAGATGGATGAAAATCATGACCACTATGTGCAATCGTGTTAGGACTTTAACTGGAGAATCATTTCAAGGAAGATTATAAATGACTTGAAGGTGTGTCATGACCTTGATGTGGGTCATTTGGGCAAGGTCATTGGCAGAAAAAATATAAAAGAATGAGGGCACATTTGATTTGAGTCCAGCACTTTAAGTGAAAATTTCATCGATCCATAATAACTCGACATTCATTTCTATATAGATATCTTGGATTCTGATGACAAAAGAAAGGAAATAATTTTCAGATATTGTGTTTTGATTTGTTTAAATATGTTATGAAATATTGCCAGATGAGGCATTTGGTACAAATGTTACAATTTTAAACACACTTTCCTGTAAATTTAATGCTTTTTCTGGGTCATCTCTCCACCAGTTTTAAAATGTTTTTGTGTGCATTTTAACAAAATGAGCAAACATTTGTAAAAAAAAAAAAAAAAAAAAAAAAAAACAGGCCCAGGGGCCACATCGCTCACCTGAGCACTCTGGCTAGGAAAAAGCAGAAATCAGTTCAGTCTTGAAAAGTTTAAATATAAAACTGGTTCGGGGGGGGGGGGGGGGGGGGGGGGGGGTTGTTTGGTTATTTGAACTAAAACTTGAATCTAAACTGTATAGGGATGCTTTTGAATTAATATGACAAATAATGGCTTTGCTGTTCTTAAGAAGAAAATTTTGATTGATATATCCTTTGTATTCCTTTGTATGATCCCCTGTTATGGCCCCTCTATTCTCCAGGGGATCATGATTTGTACAAATTTGAATCTACATTACCTGATGATGCTTCCATTTAAATATGACTAATCATGGCTTTGCTGTTCTTGAAAAGAAGATTTTTAAAGATGTTCCCTATAAATTCCTATGTAAAACTTTGATCCCCCATTGTGGCCCCACCCTACCCCTGGGGGTCATGATTTGAACAAATTTGAATCTACAGTACCTGAGGATGCTTCCATATAAATATGACCAATCATGGCTTTGCTGTTTTTGAGAAGAAGATTTTTAAAGATTTTTCCTATGTTTTCTTATGTAAAACTTTGATCGCCCATTGTGGCCCCACCCTACCCCCGGGGGTCATGACTGGAACAAACTTGAATCTACACTACCTGAGGATGCTTCCATATAAATATGACCCATCATGGTTTTGCTGTTCTTGAAAAGAAGATTTTTAAAGATTTTTCCTGTGTATTCCTATGTAAAACTTTGATCCCCCATCGTGGCCCCACCCTACCCCCGGGGGTCATGATTTGAACAAACTTGAATCTACACTACACTATAATTTGATGAGCTCACTTGCAGTACCTCTAGTTAGCACTGGCATTCAAAGGCATGTAAAAATCTACTTTCAGAGATTTGCTTGGATATCTTATAGTTTACCTTCTTTGGACTGTGCCCTAAGGTTCAAACTCAAACCCTCAGTGGAATAAACTATTTCATTGATTCTTTACTGCCATATATGTCTTGCTTGATCTAAACAGGAGCTGCAAAGTGGATTTGAAATCTAAAAATTTTAGTGTTTAGGTCATGACCCCCCCCCCCCCCTTTCCATATGCATTTAAGGGTGTTGAAATTTGCACAAGTACTGTACATGTAGTACACATCTTCACTGTTGCATTTTTTGATTAATAAATCACTAATTTTTTTTGGTGGGGGGAGGGGGGAAGTTTTCATGGTTTTTGTGGTATGAAGGGACCCATAAACTCATGTCCCCAACGAAATGTGAAATTTCGAATGTGACAACTCAACACTTTAACCACCATCCCACAAACCATTATTTTACCTCAAAACTATGAAGATTTGACCCCACAAAAATATATGATTCTCAAGTATTCCTTTTTTTAACTGTTCTTTGAGTAAGAGAAAGTTGCTCATTTAATATTTTATTTTATTTATTACATATCAATGTACAGGTATATAACAGGGTGCATTTTTGTAGCTACTTAGGTGGACCCTGCTGCAAAAGCTTAACTTGTTCATCCACTTAAAAAGTACATGTATAGGTCAGTTGCAGCATCTTAAATATTGCTGCACTCTACAATCTAAACAGAACTATCCTGTACCAAGATTATTTTTATGCCTCACCACAAATATGGCCGGGACATATAGTGTTTGTCATAGTCCATTTCAGTAAATTCTTTTGGTTAAAATGTTGTCTAATGCGGAATGTTGTCTAATCCAGCCAATTTTTTCGGAACCAGTGGTGTCCGGATTAAACAAGTTTTACTGTAATAAGATATTTTTATCAAACTTCATATGCTGATACACATTGATGAGAGCTATTTAATTGCATCAATATTTTTTTACCTTGACCTTCCCTTTGACCTTGACCTCACTTTTCTTAAATTAGTGTTTAGCTCAGTCCCCCCCCCCCCCCCCAAAAATGTGTATTCCAGATATACATATTATCAAACCTTACATGCTGATACTTATTGATTAGAGCTTTTTAACTACATCAACATTTTTTACTTTGACTTTTCCTTTGATGTTGACTTCACTTTTCTTTAATTTGTGTTTAGCTAAGTTTCATAGATATTATTCAACATATTTTAGTCAAACTTCATATACGATACAATAACATATTGATTAGAGCTGTTTAACTGCATCAACAGTTTTTGACCTTGACCTCCCTTTTCTTAAAATAGTTTAGCTCAGTTTTAAAGACACTATTCAAGGTATTTTAATCAAATCTTAAATGCCGATTCATATTGGTGAGAGCTACTCAACTACATATACATTTTTAGCTCACCTGAGCTGAAAGCTCAAGTGAGCTTTTCTGATCAGCCTTTGTCTGTCGTCCATCTGTCGGTCTGTAAACTTTTCACATTTTCAACTTCTTCTCAAGAACCACAGGGCCAATTTTAACCAAACTTGGTACAAAGCATTCTTGGGTGAAGGAGAGTTTAAATTGTTAAAATGAAGGGCCATGCCCCTTTACAAAAAGTGATAATCAAGAAAACTTTAAGACAAAAATAGGGTGGGGTCATTAAAAAATCTTTTTCTCAAAAACCACTGGGCCAGAAAAGCTGAAACTTATGTAGAAGCATCCTAAGGTAGTGTAGATTCTAAATTGTTTAAATCATGACCCCTGGGGGTAGGGCGGGGCCACAATAGGGAATCAAAGATTTACATTGAAAAATATACATAGAAAAATCTTTTAAAATCTTCTTCTCAAGAACCACTGGGCCAGAAAAGCTGAAACTTATGTAGAAGCATCCTAGGGTAGTGTAGATTCTAAATTGTTAAAATCATAACCCCTGAGGGTACGGCAGGGCCACAATAGGGAATCAAAGATTACATTGAAATATTGAAAAAAAAATTTTTTAAAAACTTCTTCTCAAGAACCACTGGGCCAGAAATGCTGAAACTTATGTGGAAGCATTCTAGGGTAGTGAAAATTCTAAATTGTTAAAATCATGACCCCCAGGGGTAGGGTGGGCCACAATAGGCATTATACAAGGGGAAGATCTGGTGAAGAACAGCAGGGCCAAAGTAACTCAGGTGAGCATTGTGGCCCATGGGCCTCTTGACTTTAAATATGTGTTTAGCTGAATATCAAAGAAACTATTCAAGATATTTTTATCAATCTTTATATGCTTATACTTATTGCTGAGAGCTATTCAATGGTATCAACATTTTGACCTTGACGTCTCGTTCAACCTTGACTTCAAATTGGTGTTTAGCTTCATTTCAAAGAAAATATTCAAGATATTTTTATCAAACTTTATATGCTTATACATAATGATGTAAGCTTTTCAATTGCATAAACATTTTTAACCTTGACCTTTCCTTCGATCTTGACCTAGCCTTCTAAGATATCTTTTTAGCTCTGTTTCGAAGAAACTAAGATCATATTTTTATGTAAGCTTATGCACTGATACATTATTTGGTGAGAATTTACCAACTGGGTCCATTTCTTTTTTTTTACCCTGACCTTCCTAGTGACCTTTGACTTTACTATATATTGTGTAAAAAACTCAGTTTTAAAGAAACTATTCAAGACATTTTGATCAAACTTCATACACCAATACAAATTTTCATGTTGCATTACTAATGAACCCTGGGTAGAGCATTTATATCCTATGGACATATTTCTAGTTTAAAACATGGATTAGCTTGCAACAAAAACCACAGAAGTTTGTGACCATTTTGGAGATCCAATAACAAGACTACATAAGAAAGCATCCCATTTTGGGGTAAGTAAAAAAAAAAAGACCTAGATGTATTTTTAACAAATGATCAAAGCACTTTACCCACATTTATTACTCTCCATTCTTAACAATTAGTACAATAATAATAACCAGTCTTTGACTGATAATACAATTAACAAAACCAACAGGGAATAATAGTCCTGTGCTGCCATGATGTTTCTCCCAACTGATGGATATTGGTTTATCACATCGAAGTAATCCATTGACCTATAAGCTGTCTCCTGAACATTATAAAGATAGTCTTGAACACCAGATCATGTTTTAGGCTTAGCAGGCTCCATACAGTTTCCATCAGGATATTTCTCTTTGAACCTGCTTACAATGTCTGGATCCTTTAATCTTACGCCCTCTAGCTGGTTGCCTAGGGTAATCCTGAAATACCCATAATAAATAGTGAGAACAGATCATATACAGTGTACATATGTTCAAGGATTGGGGTTTGTGTATTACATGTATTCAAATTTATTTACATGCAACCATTTTTTTTTACTGTCATTCACTTTGTCGATCTCGGTAAGGTTATCCAAAGTTAATTCTACATTTAACATCATCTGCGCGTGTAGGTTTCGGAGAAATTGGCACTTTGGAAAAACAAGCAAATCAACATTTTTTAATGTTTCTGTTCCAGTTAGCTTTTACTTTTAGCACATAAATACTTAAGTCCATAGAGATAAACAATAATTGGGCCCTAGTGAGGTATATTTGAGCTAAGTTTAATCAATCTATCATTTAAAGTGACAGTTTACAAAGAAATGATAATTTAACAAAAAGCCTGAACATGATTACAAATATTGACAGTATTTTAATTCATGTAGATAAGTAAATACTCAACTGTTTTAAAAATTTGTTTGTTTAATTTGTTTCCTCCCTCCCTCTTAGGTTTTGAAGTGTATAGGTGATGTTAGACATAAAATTAATTTCAGCCAGCCTAATGTTAATAATAAGGGTAGCCTTGAACAGAAAATTTATATGACATGATTGTTAATAATGATGATAACTCACCAATTTGGCTGGACATTATGAGGACGACCAAATAACTCCACTTTCCTTGTACCTGGAGATAATCTCTCTATAATTCCATAGACTTCATCTGGTTTATGACTAGTGGCCCTCACCTGTTCATAATATACAGTTTAAATAACATGCACGCTTGACAATCTTTGACCGTTCCTTACTGTTATCTATCATTTATAATATAAAAAGAACTAGAGGTACTGTGAGCCAGCTCACACAAAAATGATATCCCTCGCTGCATTTTTGTAAGTTGTAAATGTGACCTTGAACTTGCCAAAAATATCTTGGCCAAGAAAATGATCCATCATCTGGTTATAAGTAATATTTTAGTGAAGTATGGATCACATCCAACATTTCTCCATTAGAAAATTCTAGACCTGTCATGAACTTTACACTTTTTATACCAGTGACCTTGATCTTATCAGAATGATCTTGAGTCAAGGTTAGGACACAGCCATAAGTCATAAACAATTTTTGTACCAAGTGTGAGCTTCCAATGATTCTCCATAACAAACTTATAACCCAGACAATAATTCTATACTTTTTTTGTCAGTGACCTTGAATTTACCTGAATGACATTCAATCAAGGTCAACACATCCACAAGTCATAAAAAATTTTGCAGCGATTATGAGCTTCAAATCAATCTTCATTACAAAGTTATAGCCCAGACAAGAATTCTATACCTTTTCTGTCAGTGTCCATGAACTTATCAAAATGACCTAGGTTAAAGGTCATACTCTCTGGTCATAATCATTCTCTATAACAAGTATGAGCTTCCAATGATTCTCCATTGCTAAGTTATAGCCCAGACAGGAATTTTATACCTTTTCTGCCTTTGACCTTGAACTTGCAAGAATGACCTAGATCAAGGACATGACAATACGCAGGTGAGTTAAGGCTAGATTAAGGCATTTCTATGCAAATAAACTAATTAAAATGCTTAAGGACTATATCTATTATACAGGGAGAGTTAAAACTTATTGTCTAATACATACTTGCTACCCACGACATGAGATAGCCAGTACACATTATGACATCATATTATGACGTCATTGTTCTTTACTACACAAGATTATAATAGACATCAAAAAAATGCTTCGGCGCAAGGGCATGCTCTATTTTATTTAACTAACACAAGGTATCTTTAGAAGCAAAATATTCCAATGTTTCCTGGTATTGCTGCACAAATATCAACAGCTCAGTTGTATAATTTCTATTTGTAAAGTTTTAAGTTGAATTAGTGTAAAAATGTACAGTCCGGTATAAGTTTCCTCAAATTCCGATCAAATGAGAAAATGCCTAGGATTTGTGCAGCAGTTTTATTAATCTATAGAATATTCTCCTTAGCATTATACAATTTTTATGTAAAAATAAATAGGGTTATCCCTTGCGCCGAAGCTGTTTTGTTGATATGTTTTATTACCTCCAGTAGACAAGATCAATGACATCATAATATGACGTCATAATGTGTACTGGCTATAACATCGTGGGTACTAAGTATGCATAAGAATATAAATCAAAACATTCTTTGAATAATAAACATACCTCTTAGGCATTTTTATTAGCTCATTTACATAGAAACACCTGTATCTAGCCTTAACTCACATGCGTACCTCTAAGTCATGAGTAATTTTTGTAACTTCCAATAATTCTCTATTACAGAGATATAAGACAAGAATTTTATACCTTTTCTGTAGTAACCTTGAAGTTCCTAGATTGACCTTGGGTCAAGATCAAGACATTCCCTCTGGACTTGAGCGATCTCTGTACCAAGTATGAGCTTCCAAAAATTCTCCATTACAAAGTTATAGCCTAGACATGATTGCATGGACAGCTAGACAGATTGACAGGGTGATTCCTTTATACCATCCCAAACTTTGGGGGGGGGGGGGGGGGGTTGTAATTTAAAGGCCATTTGATTGAATAGAAACATTAGTTTATATTGTATATACATGTACTTGTAAAACCCGGGTTGAAAGAGTTTAAGCTGCAGATTATACAGTATAACTTGGGTAACTATTGAATTGATTCCTTACATAAATCTATCGATTTACCTCTGCTACTAAAACATCACAGTCAAGACCACGATTAGCTCCCTTGGGATTACCTTTCACACCAACCTAAAAAGAAAACTATGTCTATAGTATAGTACAGATGGACACATTATTTGGTACTTGAGACACTGGAACCAGGAAAGTTAAAGTTTATTATAAGAAGTCTATTGCTGTGGCTTTCAATTAAGGAATAACTGTCTAATTTTTTGGTTTCATGATGTGATCAATCCATTGGCTTGCGTGATAATTTGCATAAACGCCAAAGGCGTTTATGCATAAAATTATCACGCAAGCCAATTGATTGATCATCGTCATGAAACCAAAAAATCTGACAGTTATTCCTTATATTTACATGCTCTTGATTCTGCAAATTCACGTGCTACAAGCCCTGCTTCTGTCTCTATTTGTCCCACCCCGCACTTAATTTTTTTTTTACCACGCCTATCGATGAACCAGTAGATTTATGTAGAAATAAAGTATTTTTACTATTTGAAATTTTATCTCAGACAAAGACATTGGAAATGTAAATATTTCAACATATATATACTGTAGAATCACTTATTTTCGAAGGGTCAAATTTTCGTGGATTAAGGAAAAATTACTGGTTCGAGCGGATTTGAATTCAAAGTTAAAGGAGAACCACTGTACTGTAGTACAATTTTTTTACATTTCGTGGAGAATACTGTGGTTTAAAATGATCCAGTAGCTATGGCAAGTCAAAAATGTTAAAAATAAGGTTTGATAAGAAAAGCTTAGTTACAGAGCTAAAATACCACTTCCAATTTTTTGATGAATGAAAGACATACCAGACAATGTTCTTTGCCATGATTCAGCCAGTGTCCTGTTCGGCCAGTTCTGATAATTCTCTGTAGCTGATTGGTCTTTACCCAAATCAGCTCATCAATACGTTTATACCTACATGAATTTAACACATATCGTCAGTACATTTATACCTACATGAATTTAACACATATCATCAATACGCTTATACCTACACGAATTTAACACATATCATCAATAAGCTTATATTCAAACATATATTATACAAATCAGCTGATTAATACACTTTTATCGTACATCATAAATTCAAGACAAACATAAAGCTGTAGTGACTAATGTAGGTAGAGTAATGTCCATTTTTTATGTTAATATAGAGTATTTATACTCCCCTATATGTTTACTGAAAATTCAAGCTTTTTTTGTAGATGATAGGACCTACCCCCAGAGATCTAAGCATTCCCTGCCTAACTCCATAGCCCTGAAAGAAAAAATAATTAATTCATTATACATGTAGGCTCCATATATACATTGTACATGTACATACACATGTGCATATATGTGCATTCATAGTCCCCAAAATGCTATTATGATGAGGCAATACATAAAAAACAGTATATAATTATACAGACATGTAAATTTTATTATCTTTAAAACTATTCACAGGCCAACAAGAAAATAATATAAGACAATAATGAAACGCTGGTATATTTACATGTACATGTAAGAACTACTTTAAATTTGCTAAAACAAACCTCCCAGTGACCCAGAGGAAAATAAATCCATCGTCCTGAAGTACTGGAACATCTAGCTTTCTCATTTCATCGTCCTGCATTGTACCATATGGAAGTTCCATGTGGATATCCCATGGTGGATCAGCCATGACTACAGCACATTTTCCTAATGTTGACATGTCAAAGTGTCTTAGGTCACACTGGATCCACTGTTAAAATAAATTAGGTCAAAATATGATAATATATATATCCTGAAATTATCATCAGTTGGTGTAACATGTTTAATCTCAATACTGTGTGTAATCAGAGTTTTAAAATAATACATATATCTAAAATATATGTATATTTCTATGATATTTTCATTAGACTCCATATGTGTTTATGTGAGTACATGTACATGCATAATCAAATAAAGAGCTCGGCATAAGCATGCGGCATAAGCATATTTTTGCCCCAAATGAATGCCAAATTTTAAAAATCTCTAGAAATGTGCATAACTGTATATGTTGTATAAAAAATCTGAATTAACAAAAAATATTATAGTTTGGAAGAGATTTCTTTTTTTTACCTGAATGTCAGTGAAATTACAGTTAAAACTGCCAGCAGCTGCATTATTTTTAGCAAATTATGTACAGTTGTACTCCCGAATCTCACATTCTGAATACCATGGACATGTCAAAGTGAGTTGGAACAGCAAACTACTTTTTATTTTTTCAGTATTTTAACCTCAATATCTCAAATCCTCTGATATCTCGAAATTTTTCTCATAGATTTTGAGATAACCATGTATGATTGTAACTTGAAATTGTATTCATGACAATTCCAATTTGCAGCCAAGAATTAAATAAACTGCCTACTTTATAGTTTGTATGAATGAAACAAGGTTTTTCTCTTTGTAACCATCTAGTACCTGGGGAGGAAACATGTGAACATCCCCATCATTACTTTGGTCAAGTACAGACTTGGCCATCATCAACTCCTTTTTCATTCCTTCCATTTCATTTCTGGCAGGATAATCAATCTCATAATGGACATACTGAAAAACATTTATAAAAAAATTCACATCTGGTGCATATACATGTATTAAGGAATCTACAACTTGGATGAGTTTAAACTAAACTCTTCAGAAACACAAATTACATGTATATTCCACAAATCTATCCACAAAAACAAACCTTGCATGTGTCCATGTGAAAACAGGTATTGAGAAATGAACAGTCACCAAGAGATTCTACAAGAATTCAGATAAGCAATCATGAAATTGACAATTGTTAAACCTCAAAATTGATCAAATTGGCTTCAAATTACAACTATAAATTAATCAAATGAGAACAAATGCACCAGTGTCTTTGTCAAGATCAGAGGGAAGGGGGATAATATTTGTTTGAGAGAAGAGAAATAATGTCACACTTAATTGTGTTCATGGAAGGGAGACAAATTGGTCAATTATATTACCATCTGTATGTTTGTGTATGATTTTTCTGAAGTGTAGTCTATCACATTTCTCTTTGGATTCTTTTAACCTTTGACACTCCTCCTTAGTTCCATACTGACAGAATTCTTGCACTTGTACACCTGGAAAATAATTAATGTGGGAATGGTGGTAATAAGCTTTGAAATGTTCTGATTACCATCATTGTCCACAAATACTGAACTTACATGTATATCAGGAAAAATACATATTTTGGAGCAGCATAGAAATGCAGCTAAACATGCAATGCCATATAAATTTGTATATGAATTATGTTTCTAGACATTGACAGTGGTAAATCATGACTGTGCTATGCAATGCATGACTTACAATTTCACTGCATTTTGAATGCACTGAATTTAGTTTTAAAAAGCATCAAATTATACTTACCTCCCTGAGACTTAAATCTTTTCACTAAGATTTGCTCCTGTTAAAGAGAATAAAGATTGTTTCAAAATGCTACATTTCTCCTCAGAGAAATGAAATGTTTACAGATTATGTATAATTCGGCAAACATCCAAATGCTTTTACAGTATCTTTTCTCAAGACAGAAATTAAAAAGATTTTATCTCTTTTTTTTTTTGTTTTTTCTTTTGTTTTTTTGTTAATTACTCTGAGAATATTTACCTTTGCTGTGGGATGTGCTAATAACTGTTGAATTTCCTCATTTACTTGCTTGCTCACTCTTTCTTTTGCTGATTGCATGGAAAGCAAACTCTTTAAAAAAATAGAAAAGAGGAAATGTATCACTGACATTAATTTAAACAACTTTGCATCAACTTAAAACCAATGCAGTGTTTCATGCACCAGCATCTGATATATGTATTTGTCTTTTACATGTACATGTATTTCTAATCAATTAATTAATACATGTAGATGAATAATTTCATTACTTTTCTTGCAAATTCAAGAGAATCAATGAAATCAATTTTTCAATACATAAATGTACCAGTACATTTATTAACATGCATATCAAACTAATTAGGGGGTTTACCTCAATGTCATCAATACCTGCATCTGTACTCTGCTGTTTAGATTGTTTCTGTGGTCGCTTTTTACCTATATCATCATCATCTCTACAATAAAATTGATACAGAGAAAAGTAAAAGAAGATGATACATATGTCAAACTATAAGTATATATAGTAAATGAAATGAATAATTAAAGCGTACTCCTCTCTTTTCCTCTTCTTCGATTGTGGGTTTTTTATCACAGCTAACAACTGTAAAATAAAATACATAATCATCTGGTATTCTGTTTTATACAACCGGTAAGAAATACCTGTATAAATGTATGGAAGAGTGCATTAAATGTTTTTCACCTTCATTTCAGATTTTGAAATTTTTTCATTCAGAACACTGAAATCTATTTTTACTATCAGTTCTTCTGAATAAATACCTATCTGTCAAATCTGAAAGACCGATAGCAAGTGAGCATTTTCATAAAGCTGCTTAAAATGATATTATGAGTTATATGCTGCAATTTCAGGTATTAAAAAGGAATTTACATTACAAAGGAAAAGAACATCAAAATATATTTTACAACATAATGAAAGAGAGTCATCACTAGCTTAAGATTTCAGTTTTACTGAACAGGTATAATTCTTTCGGGACAGTCCAGGGGGTTAACAATTCATGGATATACATGTACAATAAATAGAAAAATATAATTAATCAATTAATTATCAGTAATAAAATGTTATAGACAAACCTTTGTTAGATCTAAATCTTGAACAATATATTTACTATTCCCAGATGAAGGACTCTCTTCTGTGGTAATACTGCAAGAATACGTGATTGAAATTGATGAAAAAATGGGTATATCATTATGATATTGAAAATGTTTATTTCAATTCATTTCATCGAAAGGATATTCACAAAAACTCATTTTATAGTAATGAATATGTTCTAAGAAAACATGATCACCTTATCAATTGCTGAGAAGCAAAGTTCTGCAGTAAACCTTCAATAGTAGCTAAAGTAACACCTCTTCCTAGGGCTTTTTTAGTATGGTCTGCAATGACTGCTGCATTACATGGGATATCTAAATTAATGTCACATAAAACCATCAGCACTTTCTTCTCTACCTCTGGATCTGACTTCATGGGCTCTTGAGCTTCTTTCTGGGGTACATCTGGTTTGGACAAAACTTGGGCTGCTTTGGGTACTGAGACTGAACTGGTATGGGAAACAACCAGGTCTGGTTTACTGTCCTTTTTTGTTCCGTCTGCATAAGTAAAAGATACCGCTGTGAAACACAAATATTGTACTAGCGAACATTTTTTATCACAATAGATCCAGGTCATAAACTGATGATTGCAACAGAATGCGTTTTTTTTTTAAATTTGAATACATTAAATTTAAATTTCATATACAAATGAATATATAAGGATTACTGTGTTGCTCATAGTATTATTCAAGAACTATTGTGTTTTTCTTGTTAATGAAAAAGTGAAGTTAATAGACCTGTGACTGAAGATTGTGATGATTTTGATATTTCTGCTTCTAAACCCTCTCTTTCCTTCTTCCTCTGCAACATACGCGCTCGCATACTACTAAGTGACATTTTGATTGTTTAATATTTTGGTCTTCAACAGCTAACTATAATTTTTTCAATCCTTGCCAAAATCAAACGTTTCAATGACTACACGCGAACTTGAATAAATAAAATCCAAACAGGAATTAATTCGGAATTTTCAAAAATCGATTTTTAAAAATGGAAAAATCTAGTATAAGAAAGAGAAAGATTGAAATATCAAAGAAAATGCATTTATTATAATATATATATCCATAAAATGGCACTATTCTAGAGAAAATCCATCCGGAATGTGCTTTTTTCCCTTTTTTCACATGCGGTTTTTAATTTTATGCACTTTTTTTTATAAGCGCCATTTATACGCAGATCATAGCGGGACAATGACTACACACGGCAGAACCACTGGCTGGCCCAAAGGAGCAAATCCAGTGTCGTATGCAGCAAAATATGGCATTACAAACCCTTCTCCAACTTTAGATCGCCCAATCCATCTGTACGTATTATATAAAGATGTTGCACAACTTGAATTTATCACTCAATTTGTTTATCCAATACACTGCATTATTACTGGCCATTAGCTGAGTGCTTGGCTCGGCATTTCCTTTTGCCCCATTGGCACCCCAATAATACCCCAAATGAAACACCAATAACATTTATATAAAATTTAAATTTGAAATAATAATATGTTGACGGTGCGACCATTAGGGCGAGAGCAGATACCTTTCAGTTTTAATTAGAATCGGGCTCGTCAAACCGCACGTGACATTTGCAACGTCTAGACTCTGACGTCATATGGCGTCGTATGTGCATTACCCAAACGAAGTTTGAACAGTGCTAATTTTAATCAAAAACATTTAATCTACTATCTGTCTGCTATACATGTATATCCATTACATCAAGGTGATTTTATTTTTTGTTGAATATTTTTGTTGCTACCGCGAGAATGAAGTTTGCGACGAGATGCATTTCGCTAAGCATTATGGGACCACAGGTAACTGCGGAAAAAAAATCATTTGGATCAATGTGCAAAGTCCGAATTTTCTCTTCGCCCAGATGTTGCTTTAAGAGCTCGCAGTGACGAGCGGCGCTTTGCGCAGCTTGCTGCGCTCGCTCTCACTAAGGTGTATGTTTTTGATCGATTTTCTCAAATGTACTCAAACACTGAACAGGGCACAAGATCTTGGTTTAGCTACATGTATGCAGTATACTGAGTATAGCTTGATTTAGCAATTTTATCCTAATCAAACTTTTTTTCTTACATGTACAATTTTCTTAGCATGTTAAAAAAGTTGCACTTAGGTGCAGTGAAATTTTTCAACTCTGAAAACAGTGTACAGACTCAAAGGAGCAAATCCAGTGTAGTTTGCAGCAAAATATGGCATTACAAACTCTTCTCCAACTAAAGCACTCAAAGTTCTAAAAGTTTTTTGGTTATATAAAGCGATTGATTTGTGACTGCACAGTAACTTCTCCCTTCTGGAATGAATTTATAAAGGAGGTCAGTTATGGTCAACTAGATAATTGATTGGTAATAATTCTGCACAATGTGAAGTAATCAAACTGATAGCCATGCCTCAACACACACAAGATAAAATACGAGATAAAATACAGTTAATTTTTATCTCAGATTATCCGTGCATCCCACCTTAAATCTTCCATTGTGTCATGAGATTTGAAGATGTAGATGTATATGAAGGCATCTGATGGTATCCACAATAATCAGCATTCAAATGGTCACACCTATTCATATTTTGTATGTTTTGTTTCACACTTGACTAATACAGTAACTTTTCCATTACCGGAGAGGAAGTCAATCAGTTCATATCCGAGTCAGACCATTTGAATGCTGATTATTGTGGATGCCATCAGATGCCTTCATATACATCTACATCTTCAAATCTCATGATACAATGGAAGATTTAAGGTGAGATGCACTTAATCTAGGTTGTGTCATCTTTAGTCATATGTTGGTAGGACTTCTATTACAGAATCTAAATAATGCAAACTTTTGAAGGCATTGTTGAATTTTTAAAGAGAAGATTCAGTTATTATAATCTTTTCATCTTTAAGCTGTCTGTATGAACTAAATCGTGACTGCCTTTGTTTTGTTTGCTGTTATTGCATGGAATTGTTGTAGCAATGGAATTCTTGGAACATTACACCTCTATTTAAAGCCATGCAATAATAGCCTAAGTAAATTTTGAAAATCTTAGTTGAACATTCTGGATCTAACACTAGACAGAAAAAAAAAAAGAAAAGAAAAAAAAGAAATAGCACATGAACTGGGTACTACAAAGTTTTACAACCTCATTTTGTTATCCATGTTATCATGGTTATTGATATATCTTTATAGGGAGCTAGCAGAATTGTCAAAAAAAAATTTCATCAGTCTTAGACATTTGGCACATTTGGTATGACAAAGTAAAAGGAATTGTCGGACCAGACAAAATTTTGTCAGACCAGATACATGTACCTTGTTTTGTACATAACTGCACCACAAATGACAGTTAATTTCCTTTATTTTTTCAACATCATTCCATCTCACAATTTTCTTTTCTTATGGATAGCAAGACTTTAATCAGAGGTATAAATGATTTATGTTTATTCTTTAACAAATTTGATCAAACACTGTCACCATGCCATCTCTGTTATTTTTGTGACCTTCACCTGCGCATCCTGATCTTTTGAAAAATTTGCAGCATACCTGATTTTTTTTCAAAGGGTCATTTTGACCGACATTTCTGAGTAAATTATCAGTCCAGAAAATTTTTTACCGGCCTTGTGGACAGGACTTACAGTTTTCAACAACTCTGCGCTAGCTTTGTCTTTTAAATTACTTTTTTTAAAGTGTCATTTAATTAAAATAAGAAGAATCAAGAAAACAGAGTTGAGTGTGTTTTCTTATTTTTAGATATCCATTGACAAACTACACATTTGGAACCAAAGAGCCATTATATGAGAAGGACAGCTCAGTGCCAGCTAGATTCCAACGAATGAGAGATGAATTTGAGAAGATTGGAATGAGACGATCCGTGGAGGGAGTCCTGATTGTCCACGAACATGGTTTACCTCATGTCCTACTTCTACAGCTGGGAACAACATTTTTCAAATTGTAAAGATTTAACATGTTCAGTATAAGGCTTATTTCATTTTCTTTTCAAATAAAAGCAAAGGACGTAGTATTGAAAATACAATAGCCAAGGATTTATATATTAGAGTCTGTTCAATACAAAATATGGCGTCGAAATCAAAGGAATGATGACGATAACAGTGATAAATAAACATCACAACTGAAATCTACTTCATTCCATGACAAAACACTTGTCATGGAAGTATTAGATAATTATCAAAACGAGCAGGAATGGTCAGGTTGTGGTTAATAGTAGGCCAAGTAGTTCTACACACCGATGTCTAGACGTTTGCATGGTTAAGACTTGTTTTCAATGTAAATTTAATGTAACAAATAAAGATTTTTCAAGTTAAATGTATGAAATTAAGGTTTAAAATAAATGTAAATAACCGAACCGAAAACCCGAAACCGAAGCGAAAATTTACAGAACCGACCCGACCCGAAAAATTTTGGAACCGTAACAGCCCTAACAGCAACTATTTCACAAATATAGATCAGGGAGGGAAAATCAATTAATATTTGAAAAAAATATATCTTTAAGCATGACTGTGAAAAGTTAGTTTGTTGCTATGTGTACCAAGAAATTTCTAAAATAAATTGTATACATATACATGTGTGTACATATTTGTTTATATATGACTTTCAGACCTGGGGGAGAATTAAATTCAGGAGAAGATCAGGTTGAAGGATTGAAGAGATTACTTACAGAGGTAACCCTATTTTATTTTGCGTATATTGACAAAAACAATTGTAGGTATTAAAACATGTACATGTATTTTAATGTGAACATTGAGTTATCTTTCTCATTAATGCTTATTTTCATTTCTTGTGTAAATGACTGTCCCTTTTCTTATGTCAGTATAATAATCTGTGTTAAATGATTTCAGACACTAGGAAGACAAGATGGAGGAACAATGGAATGGGTGGTGGAGGACACAATAGGGAACTGGTGGAGGCCAAACTTTGAACCCCCACAGGTATAAAGATACCAAGAGGACTTCAGCTAGAGTCTGGAGTCTGACTATGTGAACCCCCACAGTTAAAAAGATACCAAGAGGACTTCAGTTAGAGTCTGGAGTCTGACTTTGTGAACCCCCATAGGTATAAAGATACGAAGAGGACTTCATTTAGAGTCTGGAGTCTGACTGTGTGAACCCCCACAGGTATAATGATACCAAGAGGACATCAGCTAGAGTCTGAAGTCTGACTTTGTAATCCCACGCAGGTATAAAGATACCAAGAGGACTTCAGCTAGAGTCTGGAGTCTGACTTTGTGAACCCCCACAGGTATAAAGATGCCAAGAGGACTTCAGCTGGAGTCTGTGTGAACCCCCACAGGTATAATGATACCAAGAGGATTTCAGCTGGAGTCTGACTGTTTGAACCCCCACAGGTATAAAGATACCAAGCGGACTTCAGATAGAGTCTGGAGTCTAATTGTGTGAACCCCCATAAGGATAAAAATACTAAGAGGACTTCTGCTGGAGCCGCAATTTTACAACTTTTGATATTTATTGTAAAAGTTTACCCTTTTGGCCAATTATTGTGAAACTCATTTTTATGCCCTCCTTCGAAGAAGAAAGGGCATATTGCTTTGCTGCTGTCTGTCTGTCGGTCCATCAAAAGTTTCCGTTCATTTTCTTTGCAAAGGTTGCACATAATGAAATGAGAAATGAAAATAATATACAGATTTATCACAAAAATATCTAGGTCAAATTCTGATTTGGGTAGATCGAGCAATTTTTGACAGACTTATGCCCCTTGGACTTAGAAAAATTCCAATTATTTGCAGTTTCCTTTCATTTTCTATGCAGAGAATGCACATAATGAAATGAAATTTGGTATACAGATTTATCATAAGAATATTTAGGTCAAGTTATGATTTGGGTAGATTGAGCAATTTTTGACAGAGTTATGCCCCTTGGACTCAGAAGAATTCC